GTCCAAGTACACGTGCAAATGGTCTAGAACTTGCCCTGGAAGTGATTGTAGGCTTTCCTTGACCCTCTTGAATTGTTTATTGTCTACCAATGTTTTTATCCCTAGTCAACCCATTTGAGCCTCGAGCCTTTCTTATTTGATAACCATGTTACAAGCCTTTACCCATTTTGTTGTGACCCTCTCTTGGCACCCGAGCTTTCCTTAACACTCTTGTGAGACAATTGGATAAAAACGTAAGTTTGGGGGAGAGACAAGGAACTTGAAAGAGGTATCAAGGCACAAAAGAGAAAAGAAATGATGAGAAGGAAAGGCAAGAAAAGGAAAGAACAAAAAGAAAAATGCAAAAGAAAGTGAATAAGTGGAGGAGTTGAAGGGATTCAAAAAAAAGTAATGATACAAAGCATGGAGAAATCAAAGAGGGAGAAAATGAATGTCATGATCAAAAAAGAGTGATGTTAAGTCTCTCTAATTCCCCAAGGAAAAGAAAACGCCTCAAAGAATTGGCAAAGCATGAATCGAGAATAAAAAAATGGAGTGCTTAAGGAAAGGTAAACCCACTCAACCATAGTGTATCCAACCTTAGTCCAAAAGCCTTCATTACATCCCGAAAAAGCCCTACGTGATTTCAAGCCGAGTGAGCTTATATTAGTGTCGATCTACATAAGGGGCAAGCCTATGGTACTTGAAGTCGTACTTGTGACATTCTCTTGACAGAGATGAATGAACCCTTCGCAAATCTTTGGATTGAGTGCTAAAATTCTTAAGTGAGCTAGGCAAACGGAGAGTAAAAGAGGAGGAGTTTGGGATCCACAATGACCTACGTGAGAGAGTGAGCTTCCTTGATGAATAAAGTCAACTCTTGATGCTCAAGTGTCACATCAGAACTATATGTGCATAAATATTTAACTTGGCGCCTTGTTGATAATACATAAGTAGTGTGGGTAATTGTTGGTCCCAACTGATGTGTGAATGGCTCACCTTTGACTGGCTGAAATGACCCTTAACTTGTGGAGGTGGGAACTATTTTGTTTGCTTGAGGGCAAGCAAAAACTTAAGTTTGGGGGAGTTGATAAGTGAGAATTTTGACTACTTATTAGCACCTTTTAACTTTTGTTTTAGTCTAAAAGTGTTGAATGGTGTTCCCGAAACTGAAGAAATGTGCAAAATTGCAGGAATGTTGGAAGTTGGACTCCCGAGATGAAATCTGACTCAAAAAAGAGTACTCTAAACACAAGGCAATAAAAGGCATAGAAGCTCACAAAGTGCGGACCGTAGAATTCCATCTGCGGCCGCAAACAATGAAGAAAATCCCAGCAGGCTCTCTAGCAAATAACGGACCGCACAGGAATTGTGCGGCCGCAAATGATAAGCTGGAGGTAACTTCAGAGGGTGTGCAAAGTCCAAGTCCCTTAAATTGCTGACCGCACAAGACTTCTGCGGCCGCAAAAGTAAAGATGCGGACTGTAGAAGACCAGATTGCGGCCGCAGTGATAAATTTGCGGACCGTAGAAACATTGCCTCGCGGTCACAATTGAGAATTTTCGGCCGCAGAATCCCAGCTCCTGCAAGATGAAGAATTGTGCAGGCCGCACATGGAATTGTGCGGCCGCAGAACCTCATGAAAGTTATTTTTGTGTGAAATTTCCAGCCTTGTATAAATAGACGAGTTTCACAAAATTAGGTTAACTTCTGACATCAGCAAGTCCTGTAGCCGTTTTTCTTTGCCTCTTTTGGAAGTTTTTTATATTTTGGAGTATTTTACTATAGATTTTATCATTTTAACTTTACAATATGAGTTTAATTAGTATTTCTTCTTCTATTTCTTCAATTTCAAGCATGAGTAGCTAGATTTTTCCTAGGGTTGTGACCCAATCCTAGTGTGTAAACCTTATGGGTATCTAATTTAGTACTTGTTTATGATTGGGTATTTATTATTTAGCCTTGTTCATGCTTTAATTTATGGATTTAATGGTTGTAAACATTAGTTCATGCCTAATTGACTTAGTCTCTACTTGTGAAAGAGAGACTGAGTTTAGGAAAACATGATTAACAAGGAATTGGGTCAATCGAGAGATTGATTAACCCAATTAAAGGGTTTAACCTAGACATAATAATAGAGATTTTATCAACCTTTTTGTGTAATACCCATTTGGACTTGAGAAAACCAAATTAGGCAAAATCACTCCTTGACCAAGAGGTATTGAGTGGGTAGTTGAGAGTTGATAGCTATAATACACCCCAATCAATAAAACAAGCATTAAGATTTATATCCCATTAGGCGAACACCTAGGCGACGATCATAGCCCTAGGCTTTTTACAAACTAGAAAAATATCAAAAACAATTATCCTAGTCTTAATTCTTTACTTTGCAATCCTTAACTTTAAAATAGAAATAGAAACAACACCAATTTGTGGAAGTGTAAATTAAGATAGTTCAAATTCACGCTCTAGAATATATACTCCTAACTTTCATCTAGCTCCTTGTGGATTCGATCCCGACTCTTCGTTGGGTTACTATAATTGCAATCGACCGTGTCATACCTTATTTTGAGGTGTGCATTGCGCGATAGGTCAGCTTGTACCTTTCTGGCCCCGGCATGAGCTTTAATGAAAGAATCCGCGAGCATCTCAAAGGAATCTATGGAATGCTCAGGCAATAATGAATACCACGTTAGGGCTCCCCTCGTGACAGTTTCGCCGAATTTCTTTACCAACACAAATTTAATTTCGTGAGGAGCTAGATTATTTTCTTTTACCTCTATTGTGTAGGTGGTAATATGCTCTTGTGGATCTGAAGTTCCATCATACTTTGAAACTTCAGGCATTTTGAAACGCTTCGAGATTAGTTCTGGTGCCGCACTTAGCTTGTACGGTAATTGAACATACTTCTTCGAGTTCGGGCCTTTCAATACTGGTGGTGCACCCGGGATTTAATTCATGCGGGCATTTACTTCCCTAATGAACTGTAAAAGCTCATCTTTGAATGAATCGTTCCCGTTGTTTAGACCCGATATTCTCCCCCCAGCCCCATCGGAGCCAACTTTACCCATAGGAGTGTTGTTATCCACTCTCTGTGTTGTTTGGTCTTCGGGAATAACAGGAGGAATTGGATCGCGCCTGTTTGCATTACTCGAAGCACCTGATAGCGTATGCTTCAGTTCCGTCATAACCTGATCCTGACACGTGAGATGGCCTAGAATGATTGCTTGTTGCTCTTGCAGGATCCTCACAGCATCCGCTATTTGTTCCTCGTCAGCATCATCGGGAGTCGTCTCCCGAACTCGTCGAGGGTATCGCCTGTCATACACCGGTATGACGTCATTTCCCTCATTGCGGGTGTCACTGATTGAATCCTCGAAATGTAGTTGATCCCCTCGAATTTTAGGATTGTGTGCGTCATTAATAGTGTTATCTGCCATTTTTCGTGATTTTTTCTAAGACAAAATAATCAAAACACGTTAGTAAAAAAAGCAAGTATCAATTTAATTGCACGACTTTCTAGGCCCTACGGTGGGCACCAAACTGTTTATCCGTAAAATGTTACAGTTGAATTTATACGTGATTTCTAGACAAGTGAACAAATTTGATCCTGAAATAATATAATAATCGAAGAAATATACAATACTTAGTCTTAAAATGTAAATGAAATAGCAAAGATGATGATTCCGTGAACACGGTTTTCGAACACAACAATGATGAGATTAAAAAGTGAGAAAGTAAAATTGTATAAAGTTTTGTATAGAATATAGTACTCCCTTCGTTTCAATTTATGTGAACCCATTTGACTAGGCACGGAGTTTAAGAAAAGAGAGAAGACTTTTGAACTTGTCGTATAGAATGAGGCATATATATTTTGTGTGGCTATAAATCATTGCATAAAGATAAATTGTTTCCAAATAAGGAAAGAGGTCATTCTTTTTGGCACGGACTAAAAAGGAAATAGGTTCACATAAATTGAAACAGAGGGAGTATATGTTTTTGCCAAAAAATTCTTGTCCTTTACAATGGTAACTGAACTCACTATTTATAGCTATGCCTAGGGAAAGAGGTCCTAGCATCGTGTCCTCCTTTAATGCCAATCATGTGGGTCATGGATGAACATATGACGGTGAATATAAATGTCAAATTCTCTGTAACAGATCGTCGCTATTAATGCTGCAGAATATTTCTTAGTAAATACCACTGGGCGCAGAGCATTTTATATACCTTCATGAACGTTATCCTTTTCGGTGACAAGCAGAGTGGCTGCGCTCGGTCCTCAGTCATCCTATCTCGGATTCCACGTGTCCTCATTTTAGTCAGTCACGTGTCATATCGTATTTTACCCTATACAAACAACTTACTCTTTATTAAAAGCGGTTTAAAATTTATCTCAACTAATCAAGACTGTCGGAAGTGTAGAGATTTTATCACAACTACCCTGTATTTGTTTGTTTGCATTTTATCTGAGTCTGTCAGTCCTAAGGATATGTAGGCGAATTATATTTAAATTTAACTAATATATACTGACAGTTTAAATAATAACACAAATAACTAATACTGAAACATAGTTAACTGTTAATCCAAATAACATGGTAACCAATTATTAAACTACGTTGATAATTTGCAGCAAAGATCAGTAAAATAAACATTAGACCTAGTCCTTAATTAACATGGACTTGTCTTTCTGTACCTTAACCAACAATATTGTCATTGCCAGCAACGGTGATGTACAGATTTGCTATTTTGTTCTTCTATTAACCATCTGGTATTTGAATCCATTGATTGACTAATTTAGATTTGCACCGCCTAATCCTCACAACATTTACATATATGCAAAAACTACTGTAATATGCACGTTTCTATTCAACATTTACTTATGTACATTATTATACAAAATTTACATTATAATTTCACTCTTTTTTATTTTACTTTTTGATTGCTCCTTTTTAACTTTTATCTACTTATTGCTGCTTTTGAGAATGACCTAATCAACATTTGGACTCACCAATATAAAAGGGCAAACACACTTTCAAGGACAAATTAAAAGGGCTAAATTTTAAGCAAAGTCACTAAACACAAATTTGAGCTCAGCTTAATTCCCTTTTTCTTCTTTAATTCTCTTTATACATTCTTAATGGAGAAATCTCCAAACTCAACGAGAGGTGTTAGCTATGGAGGAGGCCAAAGTTCCTTAGGTTATCTCTTTGGTGGTGATGATAAAAAACAACAAAAGACTGATGATCCTCCACCTTCTCCCACTGTTTATGCACCACCCTATGGAATTGATTATACAACTGAAAATCCATCACAAAATTCTCCCCCTACTTCCATTACTTATCAAAAAAATCAGGGCCAAAATTCAGGAATTTTCATCACTGTGAGTAATATTTTGTGTTCATAGTTGCTCTTGATTCATCGCAAAGTTGACTTAGATGAGCTTAAATGGAGTAATCTGATCAGTAAGGATTCATAAGCCGACCCCAACTTGTTTGGAATTGAGGCTTAGTTATTGTTCTTTATTTATGCGAGTAGTAACTAGACAAAACTAGTACTAGTACTTTTTATTTTTTATATTGGTTTGAGATCGGCTTAAATGGAGCGACTGGTAAGTAAGAATTCGTATAATCGATCTCAACTTACTTGAGATTGAGGCCTTATTTTTGTTGTTGCTCTTGGTTTAACATGAAGTCGATCTTTCTTCATGTGACTTCTATATTTTTTCGATCTTTCTTCATGTGACTTCTATATTTTTTTTACTTTCATTCATAGTTCTCAAATTTATTTATTTTATATCTTTATTGTTTTTTTTTATGTTTAGGGTCGTCCATCGACAAAGGTGAAATCAGTTCCAGGAGGAGATTCATCACTTGGCTACTTATTTGGAGATAAGTCTTGATATTTAATTTCATGATCTAACTCTAAGCATGGCTGAAGTTTAGGGTTTGAATAAGGGACTACCCAGGAATTTGTAATTTTTTCCTTTGCCTGTAACTTGTACTTTGAAATTCCAATATTTGTATTTGTGTGCTAGTATATTAGTAGTCAATTTAAGTTTGTGTGGTTGTGTGAGAGTTTTGTGTGATTAAGATTATCATCATTCACAATTGGTTAGGGTTTGTAAGGTTTTCAGTATATATATATGTATTTTTAAAAGAAAAAAATTGCCATGTTGATTATTTCTTGCAATGTATCAATATTCAATAAATTAATCATGTGGTAACGGGGTTTTCGGCTTGGTAATCGAAAAATATCCAGTGATTGTAAAGTCATTGAAAAGTAGCTATTGTTTTGCTGAGCCACGGAAAGTTCCAGCATAATATGTTGGATTATGAAGCTCTTGCATTTAAACTTCTAACATATTATGTTGGAACTCCAACGCATTATGAAATTCCAGCACATTATGCTGAAATCTCATATGGAAAAAATTCGAGCTGGAATTTTTCCAGATTTTTAAAGGTGTTTCTGTTCCGATTTTATCTTTACATGAAAAATTGACTAGATTTCGATTACTTTTGAAATTGTGCTATTTTTCAATTACCGAGTGTAAATCTAGCTATTTATGATTTTCCCTGCTTTATGCTGAGTTTTCCATGGCCCAATTTGATCTGGGAAGGCTTTGAACAAATATTTTTCCAGATATAATATTCACTTTCTTCTTATAGAATATAGTTTTTCCCCAGTTAATTTGATGGGGTCATACTTTTGCTTCTCTTTTCTGAATATATTTTAGCTATTTTATGTTCTTTATGTTCCTTTTCCATTGGCCATTGGCCAATGTGGGGATATGGATCATATACGCTCCGTACCATTTCCAGCTTGTTTTGGCAAAGAGTACTTGATGTACCGAATAGAAAATGTTAATTAGTACTGCCTTTCATGCAGTAGATTTCCTTATTAGGACATATATATTTTCCTTTGAAGGAGAAGAAATCCATCTAAGAGGGTGGATTTTCAAGAATTAAATAAGGGTATTATTTTTAAGCAATCTTATTTTTTTCTTGATGTTTTCTGTGCCGGGGTTCGTTAATCACTTAGCACACGGGAATAGGAGCGATGTGTGGTTGCAGACAAAGCATCCCAGCTGCATCCCTCCCCGTATTTAAAGAAGTTCACGAGTCGTTCTGCTTTCTAGACTAATTTCTTCGCTTCACCTTGAGGGACTTTTTACCCTTCATGATCAATTTTCTTCGTCTTTGTATGATTAATTAATTCATCCACATTTGCCACCTATAAGACCATTATATGAATTGAACTTATGCCACAACAGCTAAAACTAGAGCCTCAGAGGGAAGACGTACAACTAATGATGTCCTGAGCTCATGAGCATATATTCATTGGTACCTCATTGAAAACTTGAAACTGATTGTTTTATAATTAACATGAATTGAATTTCTAGAGTAACTCATGTTACGTGTTTGTTCTGATTTTCTTATTATATTTCGTTTTTTTATTCCTTAAAGGAAGGACAACATATTTATTATAATTGGGTTTTACTTCTTTTAGAAGAAAATTATAAATCTCTCATATTCTGCTAGTCCCTTTTCTTGAAGGATTTAGTAGCATTCACAATGTAGTCATATGGGGTTTGAGAGTCTTGTTTATGGGGGAGAATTTCGGGACAAGTGCTAGCATGCCACTTGTGTAACTGCCTCTTTGTGAGGTTGTTCTTTCGATATTGTACTGTACCCTCTTTTATATAGTGGATTGCTCATCTCCACCCGTAGACGTAGATCAATTGACCGAACCACATTAAATATTTGTGTCTCTTTTGATATATTGGTGGTCGTTCAACATTTGCTTTACTAACGTATGATGATATGATGATCATCTCTATGTTCCAACGTATGAAGAACAGCAAATTCCACCTGGAAAAAAACAATAAATGGAATTTGACATGACTAAAGCCAGCTTGTTTTCAGTGAATAATTATTTTCTGCAATTACAACGTTTTTGTGATGAAAATGACCCCAAGTGGATCTAGCTGGCTGATGTTTAATGTGGGAAAGGGAATGGATTTGATTAGAGATAAGATTTACATGTTTAAGGTTCAAGATTGTCCACTCCCTAAGATTCGGCCGGTGGGTTTAGGATTGACAAACTGCTTTGTGCCCTACTTGTCCAGTTTCTTAAAAGTTTTAATACAACAGCAATAAAACTCAACAAATATTTGGGTGGTGATTGAACATTAGCAAGGATTTATGTTATATATAATTTTTACATTATCGGTGTAGTTTAGCGTATAATCAGCAGATTAGTTACCATTTATAATTGATTAGCAATTAGTGTTCATCACAAAAATTAAAAATTTACTTGTGATTATCTTATTAATGACCTGATTGTATTAAATTTTAAGTTTGATGCAATGACGGACTAAAAAATATGTGACAACTCACAACTGATTTGAGCAGCAGAGACCCGCTTCTTATCTTCTTCTTCTCCGTTTCTTTTCCGCTTCTTCTTTGCACATCAAGAAGCAACTCCATGAAATATATAGTAGGGCTATTAAAAACTGAATCGTAACCGTTAACCGAACCGAAAAATGGCTTATTAGCTTATTGGTATCGGATTATCGGGGTAACGATTGGTGAACGGATTGAGATTTTATAATTAACGGCTTAACGGTTTGAGGGCGGATTACTCAATTTCTTTATCGGATAAACCGTTAACCCGTTAAATTTTTTTATATTTATAATTTTACCCCTATGAAAATAAAATAATTTTTGAAATCCTAAGGTACTCTTGGGAATTTCAAGGTACTCTTTCTTGAATTCCCAACTATTGTTTCTCCTTTCTTTTGCAATCAAAACATACATATTATGTTTATAGTATATTGAAAAGTATGTACTCAAAATGATGTATGTTAAGAAGTTGCGTGCATCTCTTCTTTCTTCTTCTGTTGTTGGTATACATATTTCTTGATTGTACGGTTGTCCCGAAGAGTAAGGGATAAAAGCCACTTCCTTTTAGTGCTTTTTAATATAGTAGTAATAATTAAATTTGACAACTTACAGGAAAATATTCTTAGCTATGCAACCAAAAGAAATAGGGCCCAAAAATTTTATATTTGATTTAGCCGATAAACTGCACGATAACCGTTAATCCGATACTAATCCACCCGTTGTCTTATTAGATGGCTAGCAGATTACTACATTTATAATCCGATAACCAATAAGCTGAACCGTTAAGTGTAATAATCCGCCCAATCCGTCCGATAAGCACCCCTAGCTCATAGTAGTGTTATTCATAGCCACCTATCATTACTCAGGATAAAAGCTATGGTGATAGATATCAAAGAAACTTCAAATTCTAATAAATGATTGTTGAGACCAATTTCGAAAGCATTTTGCATTATTTTGGTCAACACATTGCAAGAAAACTACATCAAACTGGTCAGTGCTATTACTATTGCTTCTTTCTTATTCTCTTTCTTTCTTCTTCTCTAATGGCTTGAAATTGGAATCATAACTGGATTTCAGGATACAATCCTAAAATTTGAACTAAACAGTTCGAATTTTAGGATACAGTATCCTGAAGTTTGAACTACAATAATTGAACTTTAGGACATAGAGTCTTTCTTTAACTCCAACGATTTGAAGTTAGAACTACAATAACTGAACTTCAAGATACATGCTTGAAGTTTGAATTACACAATTCAAACTTTTGGATACAATGTCTTGATATTTGAACTATAAATTTCGAACTTTAAGGCACAAATTTTAAATACTTTGCATACGTTGGATAACTTTTAGACATCGATCCGAAAATTGGCTACTGGTCCACTCTTTGCCCTAATTTGCCGACCTTTTGGGCTAAAAGGGCTAATGGACTCATACTTTGAAGAAGAATTAACCCAAATAGCCTCTCACCCAATCGCTTAACAAAAAAATAGTCGATAGATGTATAATATATGCATAATTTATTTATTATATGTGTATAATATGTATAATCAACGTATAATTTATATATATAGCTAGAAAAGGTAAACAGTAAATATGTCCGGCTATTTGTGTAAAGATCCCTACTTTGAATGGTCCAATTGGGCTAAAGGCCTGTGTTAAATGATAAAGAAAATTTTATCTCCTATAGCAAAGGTATACACCCTATTTATTATAAACCAAAATTATTTTAAAATATTATTTTCTATAGCTACCTTTCATATTTTATAGCAAAATAGGTATTTAAGGTATATACTACCATTGAGGCATGAAATACGCTATTTATATTTTTTCTCTCTTTCTTTCAATTAACACAAGATTCTCTCCCAGATTTTTTCTTCTCTCTCTCTCTCTCTCTCTCTCTCTCTCTTCATTCTCTCTCTTTCTTTCGATTAACACACGATTCTCTTTCAAAATCCCAACAATTTTTTTCTTCTTTCTCTCTCTCTTCCCCCTCTCTCTTCGAGCAAAATACATGTTTAGTTTATACGTTGGATATTGCAATGGATTCGTACTGCTTAGTTTCTACGTCGGATATTGTAATGGATTCCTCTACACGAATACTGCAATATTTTTTTTACGTCGGAAAAGATTTGAGGGCCGGAGTTTTTGTTCGTCTCCATTTTTAATTTTAATACAATATATACAATATTTTGCTTGGCCGAAAAATGCCATTTCCTATGAACTTTCTTCCATTCTTTGCTATTTAATCACATACAATAATACAAATATATTGTATTATGTACAAATTCACTCAAATACATTGTATGTTTTTATACATATATTATTTTTGCATGTATTTATGTATTTCAAGGATTTGTATTTTTTTAATACAACTGAATACACATGTATTCATGCATGAATACATGATATAAACATTGAAATATACTGAATACAAATATTAAAATAGAATAAAATATAAACAGTGAATATATTTAATTTTAAAATACAGTGAAATACAGTAAAATACAGTGAATACAACCAATGAAATATACTGAATACAACAGTAATAACATATACTTATTAGGAATAACTAAAATATTGTTAATACAAATTCATTTGAATACACTAAATATAAAATAGCGAATACAGTAAATACAAACATTGAATCTAATGAATGCAACAGTAAAAAATAATATTAAAACACACTAAATACAAAAGTTAAATACAATAGTTATATACAACTGAAAAATTATTCTAATTAATTGGTTGATAATGAGGCATATTAGAATTGATTTTGT